GGCCCGCCCTCAGGTGAGGCGCCAGGCGCGGGCAGCCCACCGAGGGCGCAGCCGCGTTGTTCTTGGTCAGGAGACAGAGGAGGATGAAGAACAACTGTTGTTTGTTTTTCGAGCTAGCTCTTGCATTGTGGTAATTAACGCTGACTTTGCTTTCTGGTCTTCAGAGACCCTGAGTGTAGCCCCAGGTTCTGGAAGCAGCAGTCAGCAAGGGGAGACGTTTCAGTCTCTTTTCCTGCAGTGCCCAGGCAGATTTCCACGTTTCATTGCAGAGAACAGAGGGAAAATTTTACATGCTTGGGGAATACTGCTAATAATTTTAAAAGAAAGGTTTGCTGTTGGTTAACCAAGGAATAACATATGCCGAGTGTTGCTTGTGTTTTCTGCTTTGAAAAGAAGTCGTAAGGCTCAGGAGAAGGGACTGAAATCCTGCTTCTGTTGTAAAACAATCTTCTTGCCATAACGTGGTGGTTGGGTACAGTAGATCTTGGATCACTGTGGCCTACAACCGAGAGCTGAAAGTCACCTCTGTGAAAGACATTAAGTAGTAACTAAGGCAGATGTCTCAAACTTGATATCAGGTATTTCATTTAATTTTTTAACATTGACAGACACCAGTCCTACGGCATCACCCCATACCATGGATGCTGATGATCTGCAGAAACTTATCCACTTGCTCCAGTCCACAGATGATCCATTAATTCAAGAGCAAACTTTGATCACTCTCAGCAACAGCGCTGCCTTCTCCGTAAATCAAGTAAGTATTGTTTTATAGCAATCAATAGTATCTCAGGACCCGTTAGTTTGGAAAATGAGAGGCACTCTTCTTCATAAGAGTAGCACAAGACTGAGAGCAATGGTATTTTGTGTCCTAACCTCCAAGGTATAACATCTATACCTTAATTTTCCGTTAGTGCAAAAAATATAACTTACCTGCCTTACAAGACTTATGTAAGCTTAATGTTTGTATAAATTAAGTTTGTACAACTTAATGTTTGTACAGAGTTCTGTATTATAAAAGTGCTATAAATATCTTTATATCTTTCATTGCTTAAAGTAACATAATGTCACTTAAAGGGTTGAATTAGAGAAAGGTTAAATACTTGCCGTTTCAGGATCAGGTCGACATTTACACAGATAATTTAAACCGTTTTTTTTATATTTACAGAGTTGTATGCCACTTATATCCTAGCAACTCTCCAACTATGCAAGTCTATTCAATTTGATTGGAGATATGATACAGGAAGACTTTTAGAGGGGTGCTTATTTTCATGCCTTTATAGAGGAAAATATGCATCCATTTTGTCTTTTTTTTTGTCAAATGAACATGTGGGCATTTGGACAGAATGTCCAAATGACTCCTCCAGAAGTCACCTTTTTGTTATTTTTGAGATACTTAAAACTATACTCACTACTTTGGCGTCTTAAAATCATTTTCTTAATAGAAATCTCTCAGAACTGCTAGAACGTCATGAAATCTCAAGGCCCATTTTTCATTTTCTTGAAAACACTGTATTGCCTTTTGAATGATAGTTGGAGTTCTGAGTGAGAGGATTGAAAAAAAAAACCAAACTTTCAAGCGTAAGGGAAAAGCAAGATAACGTTCTAGAACTTCTCCCATTAATACCGTAAAGCTGCATCTTGAAATTCTGTTCTGTTCAGACAGCGATTTTAGATACTGTGACCTGTTCACTGGCACAGCTATCCTATAAAGTCATTGTGCAATAATTATTTATCTTTGAGCACTTATAATCTGAAATGATCTAGGCATGCTTTGCAGGTCAAATAAGGGGATATACTTTGGCCCCAAGGAGGACTATTCTTAATTTCAGTGGAAGCAATATATGCAAAGCCAAAGGGTAGCTTAGTGGTTGTGCATCTTCGTAGAATTTACAGGCTGAATCAAATCCTTTAATTTGGCACAAGCAAAACCTAACAGATACTATTTTACCTGTTCTAGGAGCTGTCTTAATTTGTGAGCTCTTCAAAATTTGATAATTTTACAAGCAACTCCTCAGAAGGATATATGCCATTGGTGTCTTTGTCAAATGAAAATCTTTTTCAAACATGGTGGGATACTGTAAGCTGATGTCAGTTTTGAAATAAATGGTATGCATATTTTATTTTTGTATGGAATGATATTGTAGAGAAAAACCAACTGCTAACATTCCCACTTTAAATAGACATAGTCTGTTCTAGAAGTGTTAATTCAGGGGCTCTGTTTGTGTTGAAGTGGAAACTTTATCTATTTTATATTTCAGGATATAATTCGAAATTTGGGTGGCCTTTCTATTATTGGAAGGATGCTCTCAGATTGCATTCCCAGGGTTAAAGAGAAAGCACTAAATGCTCTTAATAATTTGAGTATGAACATTACAAATCAGAAGGAGATACAGGTAAGTATTCTAAAGGCGGGGGGGGGGGAAGTAATGTGAATATCGGAAATAATAAAGAATTTTCAGCATAGTTGTTAAATACAAAGGAAAATGCCAAAACGTTTTGAGGTTAGTAATACTTACGAGTCAACAGGTCTGGATCATCTGTGCATCCCACGGCCAAAGGGAATAGCTTCACAAAATGCATTGCATCACGACCAATTACTTTTTTTAAAAGACATTTAGGAAACGAGACAGTCTGTGTTTAGCTTTTACCAAATGCTGGTAAACGGAGATTGTGCTGTTGAAGTTTAATAGTAAAAGTATGTGAGGCAAGACCTATTTCCAAATATGTCTAGAACAGCAACAATGGTTGTTTAATAAGATAGGTGGGAGACGGAAGCTAGCACGACTCCCTAGGCAAGGGAACTGGAGAAGAAAACCATCACTGATCCCTTGGGTTGGTCTGAGACCAATTTTTGAGGGCAGTATTTTCATCTTAAGAGAATAGTCTGTAATAAGCAATGGTAGCAAGTCTCACTGGTAAATGCAGTAGATGTTACAAATGAGAGGGGGCTAGCCATCAAAAAAGCAGCCATTTTGGTCATTTTCTGATTTCTCAATAGATCAAGAAGGGTCCACGCAGTGAGCAATCATGCACCTTTGCAGATTTTTAGTAGCTTTGGGGTTAGCTTGATTAAAAAGAGCAGTTTGACTGTATATGGTAGTTTACAGTCTCTTTAGTCCTGAGCAGCTTTTTTTAAAGTAATTCTTGCAAACAGCAAGTATTTATATGGGCAAAAAACAACTCCTTTGATAAAAGGGAAAACTGTTTTCTTCTTAGTTAGGGTTTCAAGATGTTGTGTGCGGTCACCCAGAAGAAAACTGGGTAAGCATGCTTTTTGGTGTCAGTCGTCGTCGTCGTTCCTGATTAGTACTCAGATGAATGGGCCAAGTGGTTGGAAGAAAGGATCTCGTTCTGAGACTTGTCCATAACTTGTTCTCAGCATCTAATAAGAACTTAGTGGCTGTAAGTGATTCTCGAATAACTCCTTACAGCGAGTGCGCCACTTCTGAGATGGAGTCAAAGCAGTTTGGGTTTTCTGAGCAACTGATGCTTCAGGAAGGTTAGTGAGCATGACTCTGTCATGTGTGCCTCTATTATACTAGCAGAATATTTGTGTATTAAAAAAGAAATGCTTGTTTCTGAGTGCCTTGCTGAGGTTATGGTTTCAGCGAGAAGCGTGCAATAGATTTTTAGGCCACTTTGGCTAAGAACACCGATACTATTTGTGAATACAAGTTCTACTTGTATCAGAAATGTCTTCCCTTTTATCTCCTTCCTTTTTTTCCTCCAGGTATATATCACGCAAGTTTGTAAGGACACTGAGTCGGCTTCCCTGAACTCTGATCTGCAGCTAGCTGGACTCAGATTGTTGACAAATATGTCTGTTACCAGTGACTACCATCATATGATGATAAACTCAATTCCATGCTTTCTTCATTTGCTTTCAGAAGGAAATGAAAGGACACAGGTACTGGGTACTGAATTGTGACAAACCATCTATCAGGTTGCTTTACTTACTTCCTTTATACCATTTTTCTAAAGCTGTTTAGATTGTGTTTAGAAAATTAAATATTCATTAATAGATAGCAGTGCATGGAATGCTTAAAACGGATCTATATTGCTTTTTCTGTGCAAATTCGGGAAGAGAGGGTACCTTCTAAGCATCTTCTTAACGTCATGCCTTTTTTCCTATATGAGGAATAACTGGATGGAAAAACGTTTTCGGGGAGGAAGGGAATCTTGATACTGCAACCATTGGGCTAGGGCTGTGGGAAACCAGTGCTGTGTGCACTGCTATTGCTGTATATCTTTCTTTGCTATAGCAGCTCTAGGATTCACTTCTGCTCACTAAATGTTGCTACAAAATCACCGAGCAAGGAGGATCTGCATGCAAAAGGCTTCATTCATGCATGAAACTCTCTGGGGAAACATGCCAAGGAGTGAATTTCTCTTAGAAGTTACATGATTACCTTGGCTCTGGATTTCTTTTCCCTTATGCAGTAGGTTTTTCTGGAAGCTCTGGATACACACAGGATAGATCATAGTAAATATACATTTAATAGACAGACATGAGTACAGCAGTGCGCTCTCTGATCAACTTGAGGTACACGTCCACAATAATTATTAGCAGCATAATCTCACTTCACCTCTTGCAACCCTATTGACTGTAATGGGAAATTGTGCTTCTTTGTGAATTATTGTCAGAAATATTGAAAGACGAGAAAAGCTTCAGATAGGAACCAAATTTAGAGTTTATTCAAGTTGTCACAGTACCATCAATATCAGTGCACTTGATTGCTCCCTTAGATCAAACTTAGTTTTCCTGAATGTGAAGTTCCACTAAACTTTATGCAGACCTAAACTTTATCACACCTTCTTTACTTAAGTACAGTAAGCATCCTTTGGCCTTTTCCTAGTGTTTATTTAAAAAGATTGGTGCCACAAGATGTAAACGTGAACGTTAGGTCTGGGAAAGTACAAAGGTGTCTTTTTATATGCTGCTGATCAGTTTTTAAATACAGTGTTTAAATATCCTCTGTGTATTTTAAATATGCTGTACATTTCACCTGCTGCGAGTTGTGTGTACATCTTGCCTTATTTGGATATCTAAGGCAAACAGAATTTGCTTCTAAAATATTTGTACTTAGTATGTATGGGCTAGTGACTCCATAAGCTCTTTTCCTTATACCAAAGACTAAACTCCACAATTCAAGATGTTAGTTGACCCATTTTACCTTGCTCTCTCCACGTCATCACTGAAGCATGCTTGCTGCTCATTCCTTCTGTATATTTGCACTGCAAGACAGTAATTGCTGCTAAAATGATTACAAAGTCACACCACTTTATTGTGAAAAATTGTAGGCCTATTTGGGAATAGAAAAGAGATGAGAGCTCAGATTGCTGTAAAAGAAAATTGTACTTTCTCACTTACAAACTTTCTTGTGTGTATGCACGTTTTAGGGACTTCTTGTAATGATAATATGTAGTTATAACTCTGAAACTGTTAATGGGAGCATGTAATAATTATTTAGGAACGTAGTCTTTCAGTCACTCTTGTGAACAGCACAGAGGCAAAAGTGAATGAATGAATACTTTTTGATCTTTCTGAAAATGCATTATGCATTTCATCAAGAAAGATCCCCTCTATGAGTGTAACAGAAAAAATAAGCTAGACTTTTTGAGTATAAGAATTCAGTAGGCTGATTTTGGGGGGCGGGCTGGGAGGGAAATCCTGTTCCCTGTCTGCATATTTTTAGATGAGCATCTCTTTTCAATGTCTCACCTCCTGCTCTTAAAAGATTAAGAAAAAATCAGTACTATATTTAGAATTTGTATAAGAGTGGATTACAAAGTGAATTGAGTCATTTAATTTGCTGATGTAAATGTCTGAAAGCTAAAATCATGAGAAAAGCCAAATTCCTGCATCCTTTTCTCATATAAAAAGGCAGTAGAGAGTATACTGGAGTCATTAGAGTTTGATAATAATATTAACAAGAGCAGATTCTGTCTTCCATGAGCCTTTCCCTGCTTAATGAAAGATGGAGAGAGAGGCTGGTAGTTTGCATTTGTACAGTAGCAATAAACAGATGACAGACCCTGTTAACTCAGCTAGCAAAATATATTGAAAAGAGAAGTCGTATAGACATCCTTGAAGAAAAGAATAGTTACGGGAAATCAGAGGATGGTGGACTACAGTAAAATATGGTGGGGCAAGTGAGGAGAAAAAACAAAAAGTGTAAGAGAAAAAGATAATGGAGCATTAATTTTCTTTTCTCACATGTTCTGTTTTTGGTGAATTATGTTTCTCATTTCAGATTCAAGTTCTGAAAGTACTTGTGAACCTGTCTGCAAACCCAGCCATGACAAGACACATTCTCAGAGCTCGAGTAAGGTTCTTGCTATTTCATTACATTTTTATCATTTATATGTGTGTGTGATCATAGATGTGTGTGTACATATACACACATATCTATATGCATTTAAAAGTTTAAATGTATTAAAAGGATATATGAAACTCACAAGTAAAATTCTAGCAAGTTACACGCTCTCAAATATTAGCTTAAAGTTAGTAGCCAAAAGTACACGCTTGTTCACATATTAATCTTCTTCCAGATTGTAGCAGAATAGATAACACACTTGCAAAGGGAGAGTCACGGGACATATGCACATGAAAGCAGCTGGCTTCCTGTACACAGGAAGGAACTGTCCATGACAGTTGGCAGAAGCCTGTTTTCGCCTTCCCTTTCCACCCAGTGGGCGGTAGTAGGTAAGGAGGCTGAACCCCGTGGGCCAACAGGGTGAAGCTGCTGCAGCTCCATGACCCCAGGTTCAACCAGTAGCAAGGCTGAGAAGGTATTCCCACTAGGCACCCAACACAAACACGTGTAAACAACGTACATAGATGGCCAGCCAGCCACACAGATCAGCATGAACAGATACACTCAGCACTCACACAGACAGCACCAACAGCTTCATCCCGTTCCTCTCTCTGGTCGACCTGTTTGTGGGACATATATATATACACGTATGCACAATGTGGATCCTTCTGGCAGCTGGGCTTAGACACTGGTCCTCAGTGTAGCTGGCCTCTGGATCCCTGGTCTCCCCTGTTGCCGGCACCTGGACATACAGACCGCTGAGGCCCACAGTCCCACTCTAGTACTGATTTATATAGTGCTGATACAGACCCCCTCACAAACACGCACATGCGCACACGCACACACTGTGCATCTGTCCAGTAACTGGCCTTGGACGTGCCGTCCATCCAGTAGCTGGTCCTGGATCCACACTCTTCCCAGGTGCCTTACCCCAAGAGATGCGTACACACGCATACACCCCAGACATATTGACAGATGGGTCTCAGTCAACACCCAAACCCCACAGTCTCCCTAGCTGTTTGCTGGGACTCCCCTGGTCCCCCCAGGTAGCCAGCTACTCTGTGGTCTCACCCTTAAGAGACATATGCACACGGGTATCCCAGTCGACCCCAGATGCATGCTCTCCCTGGGAGCCAGCCGAGATGCCCCTGGTTCCCCCTCGACTCCACCCATGGTAGCCAACTGCCCTGTGGCCTCACCATTGGAGATATACACGCATACCTGGAGCCCAGGTCGCTCCACCTACTCGCTGGCTCATCTGGCGTGACATTCACACACTCACTTGCTGCAGTTGCTAGCACCAGAGACACAGGGGCCATCTGACCCATGGTCGACCTCCAGTTGCTGGCACTTCATTTCGTTCTCCCTGGTCTCTCCAGTTGCTGGCACCGTAGACACACAGGCTGCTACAACCTGACATGCACGCAGAATAGAGTCCCTCACCCAGGAACGTAGTTGGAAAGGAATTTAATAGAAGGTAGGACAGACTGGGCTGATCAGGCAAAGAGCACAGGCAGACAAGCATACTGACTAGCCCTATTCACATGTGGCCAGCCCCTTTTTATCCCCACATTGCTCTATTTTCCCATGTTTGTTCCTCCCCAAATCACCTAGATTCCCCCCCACACACACACCTTTTATTCCTCCCCTAAATTTCCCTTGCATCCTGTAACAGGTCTCATACCCCAAGGCAGTAAGACTCCTCTGTCTGAAAGGTGCTCTAGAGAGCTGTTCCCCTTGTTTCATGCCTGGATGGCAGGGTCGATGGGCCCTTGGGACAGCCCTGGGAGGAGCCTGGACAAGCCCTCCATTCTCTGAGTAGGTAATTTGAATTCCCTGCCTGCCATTGTGCCTCTGTGCTCGTGAAGGTGAGCGCTTGATAGGCTGATCACTCTCCTCGGATGGGCCTGAGAGTGGAGCAGCAGGGGCAGGTATTATTTGGGTTCCGCCACATGCCCTTGGCTCTCTGCGCTCCTTTGTGGCCGTGGAGACAAAAGGTTTTACCACACGACCAAACAAGGAGTACGATGGTCTTTCATACAAGGTACCCTGATAGTTTCAGAAAAACCTAAAACCTCATTTTCAGATGTGCGTCAGCCTGTAGTTTGCGGACAGGGTACAAACTTCAAATGTAACCATCTTATAAATGATCATTCTCAACAACTGTTTCTGTATCTAACATAATATACCTATATATATCTTTACTCAGATGTAACCATTATATGTAAGTACTTTCAGTAGCCTGTCTTGTGTGCATTTCCTTATGTCTTCATGCAGAACTTTATTTGACATTAGTTAGTGCAGGTTTTGCTAGCTTACAGGTTTATTTCAATTATATCCTTTGTCACATCAGAACAAAAGTAAGGGGTTGGAATGGCGCTGCTCCCCTCCCAAACTTCTTAAACTATTCATTCAAAACATTCAATGATTTGAAATCAAAGTTTAATTTTTGACCTATCTCCAAGGGGCAGAGCTAATCTGTATGCTACCAACTTTTCATTATTCAAAGTCTAGAACAAGATTTGAGTAGCTAAACGTTCAGTTCTCTACTGTGTCAAAAGTGTATCCTTTTTTGGTCTATCAGACACCTAAATGTATTAACGTACAAACATTCAGATCACCATAGAGGGCAAAAGAAACATTATTTAGAAGGAAAGCAGACCCTCCCTTCCAAATAGGAATTTTCCAGACAGCTATGTTTTGGAGATTCAAAGTACAAAGCATTTATTAGTCTATGATATATAAGCCAGTCTTTTCTGAGGAGGAAATGTGCACGCTGTGCAAGTTTCTGGCATGCTTTCACAGCATATAGAGTTCTCATATTTTATAAGGTCTCTATTTTAGATGGTTTAGGTGCAGATTTCTTTCCATTTTTAAAAGTTAGGAGACACAAGTACATTTGTTAAGTAACGCTAACGATTAAATGTGCATTATTTATTCACTATCCTAGGGGCCATCGTTGCTGTTACTTTTTGACAGTTGTATAAACAGAGACATTCTGCTCAGAGCCCTCGCGTTTGCAGCAAATTTGAAAAAGAATGTGAACAACGAAGATGGCACCATGCTTCAGAACCAGTACAGTGAAGATTCAGTTTTCTTTACACTCTGTGGGCATTCTACCCCATTTGCTCAGAAATTAGCATCTTTATTGCATCACCCTGATACAGAAGTGAAAGAGCAAGTTGTCAGGATATTAACACAATAGTCGTTAAAAAAAGTGACCTGATTAGAATATTTATCTTAAGAGGGCTTTCATACAAGAAAATAAAACATACTTTACTGAATACTACCATATTATTAGGTGCAAACCAGCTATTACAAAAGCAAATGCAGTATGTTTAATAGAGAGCATAATAGATTTCTGAGTGAGATAAGCAAGAGCGTACTTAGCACTGGCATACTATTATACAGCTGCTACGCATTAACAAATGGGGAGGGATAGTTTAAAACACTGAAACTTTTATACATACAGTGCATATTTTAAATGGACCAGAAAAGTCAATCTAAATATTCTCTCAATGTTGTAAAGAGTTTTTATTACCTTATATACTTAACAATTTTTGAATAAATATATCTCTATGGAACGGTGCATTAAAGATCTAGCAATTCAAGATTTGGTATTTACATGTTATTAATCAGATACCTACTAATTGTGTGCAGGCAAATCCTAGAAAAATCTTAAATAAAAACAATGCCAGACTATCACTGACTTCCTGCAAATATATTTCCAAGGAAAATTGCATATTAAAGTTATCTAGCCTGTTTTTTCATGTTACCTGCACAGTGTACTCTAAAACTACGCTCATGTTTAACGTACCCACTCCATTTAGCAACTGCAGTGCAGTTAACCTCAACACATGCAGTGTCCTTGCTTGAGCAAAGTCAAATGGATTTCATCTCCCTTAAAGCGATACCTTTAAAAGAAAGCATACGTATTTTTTTTGAAATGTGGTCTTTAATATACCTGTTGTGCACCAAAGATTATCTGCAAGTGCACAGAGTGGGGTTTTCAAGTTCCAAAAATTCAAAATTACTGTCTTCAGAAAAAGGTCTAAAAGAGCAGCAGCATGCACTTTAAAAAAAAAAAAAAAAAAAAAAAAAGAAGCGTCCTGTTCTGTAGCAGATCACGAGCCAACTTTCCTTGGAAGACTCTACTCCTACTTCTTTGCAATTGGAGCTTCATCACAGTAAGTGCTTCTTTGAGTTGGCCCCTCCCCCTCCCGAAAATTCCAGTCATCTCTGCAGCATTAATTCAAAATGAAATGGAATACATCTAAAAATTACTGTACAGGAGAGCGAAGGAAGAGTTCACTGATGCACATAAAACATTTAAACCACTTTACACTGAAACAAGACTACTCAAACTTCCTAAATACCATGGAGAAAGTGAAGTGTCAGATGTAAAGGCAGTTCGTTTTCTACCCTGTATCATTTTTAAGAGAACTCTATTACCCAAACTGTTACTAGATGCTTTGTCTTTCTGAGCCAATACATGGAAATTGATGTTACAAAAAACAGTACTCTTTTTCTGTATGTTCAGTAGATTTTACATTTTTCAGTAGATAACTTTTGTAACACGTAACACTATCTATGCTCTCATCAACAAATAGGTCAAGCTACATCTATCTCATTTATCTATATGGGTAGTTTTAACTCATCAGGAATACCGTTAAGGCCGAAGTGGAAGGTTGGCATGATTTCCCGTTAATCTGTCACAACCCCGACAAACACCGCATTGGTAGTGAACTTCCTTTGTATGTGCTGTTTGTTTTATGATATGTAACTTAGAATCACTTAAATGTTTCACCACATTATATTTAAATTTTGTCTGCTTCTATATTTAGTGAAGAAAAATAAGGACTAGGCCAGACACTAAGAGGTCACCTACCCCATCTTCTTCCAAGGCAACAAGAAGTTAGACTAGTCTGTCCAGGTATATCTGTTCTTAATCTCGGCAATTGAGATGCCTAGGTGTCCCTCATTTTCTCCAACCTAAAAAATCAGTTTTCCAACATCCTACATGTTCTTTTTGATAATTAAAGTTGATTGGCTACCAAAGGAAAGGGTAGGAAAACAGAAACAAGTGACAGTTGTCCTCTATCTAAAATAGATGAAATTTTTTTTTTTTTTACTGTTACCACACTCTTCTCCTTCTAGTCTAAAAAAAGCTAAGTTTTAAACCTTTCTTCATAGAACACTGCTATTGAGATATTTAGAAATAATGCAAGATTCTCCAGTTTGTCTTCACACAAGTGTCTCTAACTTTTTTATCCCCTACTCCCTACCCTAGATGGAAGCTTATCAGCGCCAAGCACAATGTAACAGTGACCATTCTACATACAAATACTGTGAATTAATACATCTAAAACAAAACACTTCCTATTGTCGACTAACATTTAGGTTCCGATTCTTATAATTCAGTACTTACCTGCTACATGGCTGCTTAGCCAGTTATTTTCCTATTTTAGTTTCATTTTTCTTTCCAAAATACAGAATTTTCTAAGTGTTTACTGATTATTTTAAAAACTGGAGAAGCAACTTTTTAGTGTCAATCCTCTCCTTCCAAGTACTACTCATAACGTCCTGCAGCTTGGTGTCCTCCACAAGATTATGTGCATGTAATTTGCATTACATTATCCAAATCATTAATGATGCTATTGTATAAATATGAGGCCCAATATAGACTTCATCTGAAATGCGCTCCCAAAATTAATAGCAGACTGCTGACACTTAGTTTTAACCCTATTTTGAACATATTCCGATGAGTCCATCTAGACCATCCTTCCTGATTTTTTTTTCCCCCGGGAATATTACATCGAACCGTATCAACAGCCGTAGTAATAAAGAGGCTTTCTCTGATCCGCTATGCCGGAAGTATCTTGTCGAAGAAGGAAATCTTGCCGTTTGTCCAGACAAGTCACACCAAAGAAATATTAGCTATTATTTTGTGTGTTATTGTATAAGTAGTTTAATCACATATTTACAGCATGAACTTGAATGAGCTGATCTTTGCATGCTCGTGCTGTTCTTTGTTGGTATTAAGTTCAGGATTTCTAGCCCTTCCTGCTACAAGTTTTTCAAGATAACTGTTACCAGTTCAGAGATTACTTCAGTTTGTTCTTAGCATGAAATCTCATTAGCTTGTTTTAATGAGTTGCCAGAAGTTCATGTCCCTAAACTACAAGGAAATATTAGGAAATATATATTTTTTTAAATCTAGCCTCATAGACTATGAATGTAAAATGTAACGCACAGCAAGAGCAAGAAAAAAAAATACTGTTCCAGTAGACAATAACAGAGCATGAACAACAACAAAAACTTAAAATTATTTATTTTCAAGTGAATTACGAAGGAGAACTACCACCCTTTCTGGCAGCAACAGGCTTTAATTTTGTAAATTAGTATGGCAATTTGATACAGATACATTTAGCCAAGTCTTACAATACTGAACAATTTTTTAATCTCTTTCAACTTTGTAAAATCACAAGGAAGCTATTAAAAAAAAACTACCACAGCCCTTGCTTAAGACTTTTCACTTTAAAAAAAAAAAAAGTACTTAAAAATAGGCTGAGTCAACACAGAGATGAGCGCCATTAAGGGGTTTTTCCATTTCATGAACTGCATTTGACAAGAAAGTTTTTTTGAACACATTCAGGCCTAACTTAAAAACACTGACAAAACAGCGAAAGTGTGCAGATGCTCTGGCCAGCAGTAAGTTTTATGCATTACTGATGCAACATGAAGTAATCTCTCTCTCTAAAAGGCACATTTCTTTAGATGATTTCAAAAGTCAGCTTTCGTGGTTCCTCAATAAATGAAAACGTAGGAGCACTGAGTAAAATAATTATTTTACTGTACTTGTGCTTTATTGGAAGACTCCTCCTCGCAAAACATACACTAAAGCTATCAAAGTACAGGGCATAACTTGAAGATTAATGACCGACAAGTGGGAGATGACCTTCTAAAGATGAGGAATTCAAGTCAGCCATTAATTCTAAGAATATGTCCTGTTCTGAGGTTATTATTGCTGTTATAAATAAGCTGAAAATCAAAGTGTTAAAAAAGAACAGTATTTATCGGTGATGTATGTAAGAGTTGAAACTGCAAATTATTCCTAGGCAATACCTTATATATTAACCAGTGTTTAGATCACCTCATAATTTATAAGCAATTTAAGTAGGAAAATTTATCTTGAAGTCTGTACGCAAGTTTTAGTTATGAAATCAACAAACCTAGACTCTAATAATCCAATCCGCTCAAAAATCTACTTTGTAAGTACCTTAAATTAGCATGTGTAGTATCAGTTCCTAGTTCAAATCAAACAAGGCTTACAAGGAATTGACAGCGTTTCATTATTCAAACCCATCATCATTTGTACTCAAGTCTCGTGATTCTCCATGGTTTAAGACAAAGAAGTCATCTTTTTTCAAGCCATATCTTTCAAGAGCTTCATTCAGTTTAACTGGAGGATCCAAGTAATACTGGAAAGATAAGAATGATTTGAGGAAAAAGATATAACTGCAGCATTTGGAAAAAAAAACGCTATACATAAACTGGTTCATGTTTTAAATATATTTATCTAAAAAGGGAATATTTTTGTCAAAGTTAACAAAATGTTTAGCTTCATTTTTGATGTAAGCAGCAAGAATTCTGATTTACAGTCTAACCAGTAAGACAACCATCATCCAAAAAAATCGGACTTCCTCAATGTATTTAACAGGAGCCCTTAGAAAGGGAAACATGGTCATTACTTAGTGCTAGTACAGAAAAAGAGTTGTTTTCAAGGAAGAAGTGTTGACAGATCAGTAGATGGCGCTTTCTCTCATTAGTAAAAACATGATGAACTGACAAAATCCGTGACTGAAATACCTTCATTTCCCCCCATTTTAGAACAAGCTTGCCGATTTTAACTGTTTGAAAAAGTAGCCCCATTTCCATACTATTCCCCTGATGTCACTTCGTTATGGTTGTTACATTTGAAATTTATATTAGCTATATTTCAGAAAAGGCATCATCTGGGAGTAGTCATCCAGTCTGCTGTGCTTCTAAACACACCATAACCTTTCTACCTTGATGCTAGTGACATAGCTTATTAAAAGCATCCTGGATAGAAAACGTTGCACCAAAGTTAAAAGAAAATACAACATAGCAAGTGACCATAGCTAACAACCTGAGAACTGAGTTAAAACATAAAATGCAATTGATATTAAGACAAAGTTGAAAACACAGCTACCAGACAAAGTGTATCAAATACAGATACTTCCCTTTCACTGCATTTTTGGTGACTGTTAAGGTACCCTAGCGACAACAAAACAGCAACTGCTAAAGATTAACCACGTTTTTCGTATTCTTGCCAGAAGATGGTATTTAACGATGACTCAATCATCAAAAGTTCAATTTGAAGTACTCGCTAAATAGTCATAGGATTAATAAATACTGTATTGAACTCAAGGCATTCAATTCTTATTGATTTCTAGTAATATAAAAGTACGTGCGTGTTCCCACCTTTCGTGTTCCTCTGCTTTCAGACATCAGATTCATGCTACAAGATAGATTCTAGTTATTGGAATCCCCCTACAATCATCCTATTTCATGGAAAGTTATTTGGAATTGCTGGGTTTTAATTTTTTCCGTCTGGAGATTCTAAAATGATTGCTAATGCACTATCATATCTACTTTATTTTCCAATATGGAACATTTAGAACCAAAGAACTGTTATGGATTTCTTGACTTTCCGCATTAATTTCCTCTTTCTAGATTACATATTAAAAAAAACAGAGGAGCTGTCCTAAGAATCAACATCTGATTCAGAGGCTCAAACTTTAGGGCACAGATACAGGTTTTGAAATGCTGGGCTAGAGAGTCATTTTCTTGTCTGCTTCAATCTCTCCCTCTCCTCAGACCATCTGTTTGGCATTTTAATATTTATTTTTAACTTTATACCACATACAAAGCATGAAGGTAGGCAAAAAATCCCCCAAAATTGATGCTTTTCTGAAGAGACTTACACTTTTCAATGCATAATATTTATTTTCTCTAAATGAGGAGGAATATGCTTGTCACGTCTGTGCACCCAATTCCTCTACCAACAAAGAGGGGATTTCAAATATGCTGCTTAATGTGAGGTTCCCGATGCACTGCTCTGCATCATTGGCTTTTCCATCGAAAAGAAATTCAGCCTTTAAAAGTTATTTTGCTGAAGTTACAGGATGCTAATACCTCCAGATTTTTTTTTGATAACTATACTTTGAAATCAATCTTAACCATGGAAATACTTTATATATTTGTTATGAAAAGCTAAACATCATTTTGAACTGCAGTACATGTAATAACTGTTCACTCAGCTAAAGTTCCATCATTAATACACTTATCGATAAGTAGGTTAAATTGTATGAACATCTTGTAAACATGACTGCGTGCTTGGAAAATCTGAATTCACGTACAGTGTTCAAAATTACCTCATTTGCTAAAGCAAAGGTTCCCCAGTGAATTGCTACAGACTTCTTTGCTTGAACATCAATATGGATTCTTACTGCTTCTTCAGGATCCACATGTTGGTATTTCATAAACCACCTACCAAAACATAAGGCAAATTTTAAGTGTCATCTAAATAAAGACGAAATCTTGCACTTAATTTTGCTGGTAAGTGGCAAGGGGTCTAAAAAATATGCCCACCTAAAAAATTATGGAGTATGTATGTCCGGACAACACACAGAACATTCGAAATCAAAGGTAGAACACATCAACATACTCACAAAGCAGCAGTTCATTTATTTCACTCTTAGTTTGAAAAAAGTTCTTCTTATCTGTATTTTCTAATAGTATAAGGACATAACACTCGTGCCCTGAGGCATTAAGGCTGTAGATTTAAATACGCCTCAGAAATCATTTCATGCTAGCAGTTCACATGGAAAAGTATAAGCTTCAGAAGACAGCCTAAGGGAACGGTGGGAAAGAGAAGATAGAACCTGGCGGTTCTTGAGAAATACTGGATTTTTTAATCACATAGTTCTGATTCCTATCTTGCCTTCCTAGCCTATACATGCTTTTCTTCCAGCATTATAAAAGAGCTGTTATCATCTAAAACCTAGACAGCCCATGATACGTAGGATACAGATGCCAAGCAAACAGATCTTTCACTGTAAGGGATTAATCTCTATCTCCAGATAAGTTGCAAAACAGCATGAGGACTGAAGCAAGAGAAAAATGCAGCAAATTATGTGCATCTAAATGGCTGTGACGGAGTGATGCTACTGAAGAGGAAAAGTCTTTTTACTCAGAATTTTTCATGGAAGGCTACTGACTCATCCCTGCTATGTTTAAGCCAAAAAACAAACAAACAAAAAAACCCAAAACTCCACAACACCACTACATATACATAGACAGATATCCTAGATATTTCAGCTCCTTGCCTTTCTTTATCATTCAGCAACTTCTTTCTTTTGCCTCCATTTTCCACTACGAAATTATTGTATTGCACTGTAAAATTTTAAGATATCTTTTTTCACTTCTGTCTGTACTTTTTGCCATCTGTATATCATTTCATTTATATCTTTTGAACAAACTTAGGTTTTCATACCTTGGCTCATAAGCTCCAATGGGGATGGCTGCAAGATCAAAAGGTCCAAACCTTTTACCTATCTGTTCAAAAGCAACACAGTATCCAGTATCTCCTGAAAAGAAAAATCTATTCCAAGGTCCCAAGACAGACCAGCTGCCCCAAAGCACCTTGTTGTCATCTGTTGCAGTCCTTTTGCACCAATGTTGAGAAGGGGTGAAGACAAAAGTTACCGCATCACGACCAGGGACACAGTTCTCTTCCCACCAATCCAGTTCAATCACATTCTCACAACCACATCTCTGCATCCAGTCCAAGAGCCCCAGAGGCACAAACCAGCGCAGCTCACTGCCAAAGCGCTCGTTTAAACTCATTACAGTGTTGTAGTCCAAATGATCATAATGAGTGTGGCTGATCATGACTGCATCTATTTTGGGGAGCTGGTCTACTGTGCACGGGGGTCCCCGGAAGCGCTTGGGACCCATCAGCTGCGTAGGGGAAGCCCGCTGGCTGAAGATTGGGTCAGTAAGAAATACAAGTTCATCCATTTCCACCATAACTGAGGCATGTCCCAACCACGTGACTCGCATACCAGTTCCAGTCTTTCCAGCAAGTTCCGGGTTTTGAACAAAGTAAGGTTTCAACACTGGAAGCTCTTTATCAAGTTCCTAACAAAAAAGAACACAACACTCATGAGATATCTCAGAATGTACTTGGCTATGGAACAAAATCTTCATACAAGGCACAATTCATTAAACAAAACAAGTCTTGAATGTACATTTTTGGGCACCCAGACAGCTGGAACACATTTTTAGTGCCTGTTTCCCCAGCTACTTCCGCTTAATCTTAATTTTTTGGTCATATTTTCACTTCTCTCTCTTGAGAGAGGAGAGAGCTCAAGAGTGTTCTTATCAGGCCAAGGGACCTACTAACAGAGAAAAGGCACCTGAAAGCACTGCAATGAAAGCCTTGCAAGGCATTAACAGCACGCTGGAAAAGGCTTTGGAACCTGCTGGTCTTCTTGACCTGGAAAAGTCATATACTAAATATACTGTTACTGTAACAAAGGCTCAAGTTTAGCTTGTGGAACTACATGATGCCTTCCCCAAGTCCTAGCACAAGGAAGTCACAAACCTACAGATTAAAGAGAACACAGTGTTCCCCAAGGTATTGTGCAAAAGCTCTCTTCTGTTATGCTCTAGCAGAAACTTTCTCATTATCCATAGAAGCAGCTGCACACAGAGATTAACCTCACTTGGCTAATGTTTGCTCTTATGGTTCACCCTCCGCATCCTGCCAATAAATCAATGAACATTAGTTCAACATAGATTAAAACTCAGATCTCATTCTTAAGGTTCTTTATGCACTAAGATATGCTTCTCAAGATGTTTTATTGAAGCCTTCTAGGGAATTAAACTTTAATTATCACTCAATAAATCCCTATACTGATCTCCCTGTACGCTCAGGATGTGGTTCCAGATTGACATAAACCAACCTAACTCCATACTCCGGTGGAACCAAGTTACTAAGACCTTCCCAACCTGCCCTCTTGTATCAGCATTAATGCTTGTACAGTCACTACTCAAGTCTGACAGGTCAGAGAACTGATCCAACCAAACACTGATCCAGAGGAGGAAAAGAGATGGCTTTCAGCCTGGTCACCCTCCAAATTTGACCGTATGCACAGCCTCAAGAGTGCACAAAGCAGGGCACGGCTGGGCATGATCTGCTTAAACTGGTCATGAAACCATTCTCTCACTTTGAACAGAATGTTACATTCTTGACCACTTTGCTTGAAATGCATATGCAAAAACTTTATTTTTAATAAAAAAGGTTTTTCCTATTTAGTAAGGAAAAGTCTTCTCAGAGTTCCTGGCTCTCTCTAGCTCTGTCCCATGGTGGCTGAACCTCTCCTCCCAAATAGTTCTGGTCTGAACTCCTCGTATTACTTGGGAAGAACATTCCTGTGTTAGGCAACTTCTACAATCCCTTGACACTCTTCTCTCCCTGGCTAATAACAGATGTCCCAACCTTTCTGGTTCCTAGCAAGATCCTCCCCATCACGGTCGTTGCGTTCATTTTCTGTTTCTAGGAGAGTGGGTTAGCCTTGGCTTATATAGAGCTGAACTCCTGCTCTCTTTGAAAGCCCAGCTGATGCTGCGACAGTTTAGGTGTCTAAAATTTCATAAGTTATTGCACGGATAACTTTCCATAACGCTGAATATATGGTCAGCACCACAGAAACACTTAAATCAGTTATTAAAGTTATTAAAGGCAAATTAATGGAAATCCATAAATGGACTTCAATAATTAATTGTCATAATGCAATTTATGTCAGTAAGTACATTTTAACTACATTTTCATGGAAAATGTTCTTTTTAAGTAGCTGTTTGGACAGCTAGACTACAAATTAATCTGAGAACTCTAAATGTATCCCCTCCTGCTGGCATTTGACAAAACAAATTTTTTTTTTTTTGCACCACAGAAACACTTAAATCAGTTATTAAAGTTATTAAAGGCAAATTAATGGAAATCCATAAATGGACTTCAATAATTAATTGTCATAATGCAATTTATGTCAGTAAGTACATTTTAACTACATTTTCATGGAAAATGTTCTTTTTAAGTAGCTGTTTGGACAGCTAGACTACAAATTAATCTGAGAACTCTAAATGTATCCCCTCCTGCTGGCATTTGACAAAACAAAATTTTTTTTTTTTTTTAAGATTAGCATCATGCAATATTAATAAGGAATACTAAATGGCTTAGGAACTGGCTAATTGACCGATGTGAATAATGAGTTCTTAAACTGAGACTCAAACATATGAACTACTAAAGGTTTTACAGGGATGTCACTAGGACCAACATTATTACATTTTTCTACTACTTAGTCTAAAGGTAAAGTTAATCACTACCAAAAGAACTGCAAAGGAGACACAGACAGGAAGAATGATAAATGAAGGGTAGCACAGTTGGAGCAACCGGCAGCCTGCCCTGCTTAAACAAAATTCCATGAACAAGAGCTCAGGGCAAACCTACAGCACAGGGAGCTGTAACTTTGAAAGCACTGACTCTGTACCAGACTTACTGGTCTGTGATACAGAGGCATCTGATTCAAATAAGTGATTCTTCAGTGGACTAAAATCAGAAATCGGGTATTTTATTGAGCTATCAGAAAAATCACACAGAGAGATATCTGAAACAAAAAATCAGTTCTTAATGCATGAGGTTTTTTCAGTTTTTCAAAAGTATGCTAGAAACCAACACATTACTATGCTCAATAAGGAGGTGGTGACCAAAATACTTCAGTATTTATTGTTTGACTAGTTCACTGTGTGCTCAGAAATTTGTGTCATGACTCCATATCCACAAAGAACATGAACCGTTAGGAAAAATTAAATTCTGCCCTTTCAAATAAGAAGGCAACTGCTCTGTTCCCCCATCAGGTGGATGAAGGGAAAGTCATTCTAATCAGCGGCCACAGTATTTATACCAAGCAGTTTTCTGGCCAGTACTAGTAGCTATTGAGAGTTTGGTTATACGAAGCAAGGAACTGTTGTGTAGTCATGTCTCACTTCCCCATCCTGGAGAAAGCAAGCTGCAACTCACAAGACTCAATGTGTCTCCTCAGGGCCAACTTTAAGTTTCAACTGGAGGAAGAGAGAGGTAGTGAAATGAATTGCCACATGACAGTTGAGTCAAACAGGAGATTACGTTTATTCATTCATTAAGTTTGAGAAACACTGAACCATGTGGATCCCATCCTTAGAATTAGTCATAGGAAAAAAGAGAGGTGCATTTTCAGGTTATAGGAAGCCAAAAAAGGAAGAAGAATTAAAAAAAAAAAAACAAAACTGTTTCTTGATGGCCGAAAACTTATTTATTGGTTCAAAATCTGGACTGAAAGTCTACCTTTTAAAGCATTCAGAACTCATTACTCAGATCATAAGATCTCAAACTAAGGCACAAGTCCTACTGGCAGTATACTTCATAGAAATTCTTAAAACTTGGACAACAGGATAAAACCACATAATGGACAATATATATAATCTTATAGAACCTTTATCCTGCTTTAGTACATTTTGTTTTCTATCAGGCTGACCAAAACCAAATATTAGTACTATAAGAATTACAACAGAACTTTGAAATATGACATTATTGTCAAATCAGCTACCCAGAGAAGAAAATGCATCTTATCTTCATCACAGAAATAATATGCAAGTTCTTTCTGCTCTGCTGCTCCCTCCCCCTCCACGCTCTTCTTTCTTTCCTAATGCAAAGCAAGCAGAAACACATGACTAGCTTTGGTAAGACTAGCTAATTAGGATTTTTGGCGCTTAGTGCATACTGGAATACTACTGGATTTTACAGAAATTAGAACAATCTAAGCTCTTGATCCAACACCTAATTATTAAAGACACTTCAATGGCACTGAAAAAAGTCATTAATATGGCATGTAATGAAAGTACAAACAGTCTATGCATCCTGGATAATGACAGAGGCTTGTTGTGAAGGCATGATTACAATGCACATAGCTTTTAAACAGTGAAGTACGTGTCCTGGATAATATGTGTGTACGTGTGTATAAATATATATATATTAGTTTTGTTTTTTTTTTTAATACATATGCAGTAATAAGTACTTTGTATAGATAAAACAAACCTTTCCAGTGTATGACTGTGCACTCTTAAAGAGGAAACTGAAGCAGCAGGCTGTTATAAACATATGCTAGAGCTAGCTACGTGCAAATAAAGCACAAGCCCTCAGTTTTACCTTTAAACAAGCTCAGAAGCACTTCAGAGGTTGATCTAGGTCGGGAAGAGATACAGCTCAAAGAAGCATTCAAACAGCCAAGCACCCAGGAAGTGCATTTCACTGATCCCTATCTAGGTTTTTCTTTCTGATTTACTTCTTGAAGCTACTAAATAATTGCAAGTACTTAACTCAACAATTTCACATGCAAAGCAACAAATTAATCCAGAACGAATCTTAACTGGGTCAGAGAACTTTATAGCTGGTACAGTGTAGATTTCTTTGTAACCATCCTTCATTGCAGGGGCAGCGATCCTGTAAATTAAAGGAGAGCGTTGCAGTTCTCCACCGCCACTGGAGAGCTGTATATGCTGCACTCCGTAGCACACCAGAGCACTGCCCTTCAGTCACTAACCAGCTTTCCGGACTGGTGCTGACAAGATATTATTAGCACTTATACCTCTAGTACACATCCAGAACTGGGCAGTGGTCAAAGACAGCTGGAACAAGGCAGGGGGTGAATTTTGCATAAAGGTGGACAAAGTATGATAATGCAGCACGCTGAAGAGAGAGAGCTTGCAGAGCTAGGGAGCTTGTACGCGCTTAGGTACTGCTGTTGTTACTACAAGGCATAGATAACGGCTAGAAGCAGAGCATCAAATTTAAAACACAGGAAATTGTTGGAAGGAAGCCCAAGACTGAAATAGGTTTGTTGCACCTCCTTCTGAAGCCAAATTGTTATAAAACAATTATAGCTAAGATTACTTCTCCCCTACTTATATTCTCTGTCACAAACACTTAAAGAAATCCAAAAAAACTCTGACCATCCTGTGTCAATAAGTAACGTTGCTTTCTTGTCAGTAGGGATGATCAAATAGCTTCCTTCACAGGTAATTCACATAACGTAAAAAGCATATACTCTTTGTGAAATACTATGAGTTTTATAACTATGCTTGCTTCTTGGATGCTTAAAAGCCTTATTAATGCCTACTAGTTCAAAAGTGATTTTCCTGGTTGCGCACTCCTTAGCACAGTATTTCTGAAGTTCAGCCAACGTACAAGAAAATACACTGAGAAGTAATCTTAACTGTCAAAACTGTGGCCATAACAGTGGTAACACTGTTGGGGCCACAAAGATAAACAGTGGCTTTCCAGGATGCATTCCTGTTCACAGAAACAAAGTTTCTCTCAGGGGTTGCTTCCCTCCTTTCTTTAAGGCTATCTTCAAGGTCGTAAAGAAACAATAGAATAAAAATATAATACCCCACAGAAGCAATAGAAATAGAGAACAAATAACATGTCAGTAAGCTGACACTGTATCTTTAACATCGCAGTACAAATACTCGCTCAGGTTAGCTTTAACGTATGCAATTCTTTGTCCGGATGTACTGAAATATAAACATACAAATTTGCATCGGAGAAAGGCTGGGGAAAAAGCACTTCCATAAGAAAATGACAGTAATTATTTGGAAGTTTTTTTATAAAAAAGATATATAAAATATATAGTAGACAGTATGAAAAAAACGCCTAAAATTTTAAGTGAGATATGCCACAGCTATTACTTCCAATATGAACAACGGTCAATAGTATGATTCACAGGGCAACACCTGTTAAAAAAAGAAATTTTTTAATTTCTAACGGAAGTTTATGGTTGAACTGGGAGGCCATTTTTGTAGTTTTCATAAATATAAACTAAGCTGGATAAATCAAGGATGGAACTAACAAGTAGGAAAAAAATTTTAAAGAGTCAGAAAGGATTAACCCACATTTTGAAAAGAAGGTGGTAATACTAAAATCAGGGGAAAACTAAACTGATGAGAGTCTCCAAAATATGCCTAACAATTATTTTAGAAATTCTCCTATTTTATTGATAAGGGCAGAGGGGAAAAACAATTGACATTAGGAACAGGAAACATGCAAATATTTACCTGTTTTGAGCCTGGCACATTGCTGTTATTTTTTTCCATGAGGGACCATTTCAAAATATTTGGCAAGGTTGGCGATTTCCATGTTGGCCACGGGTTGACAAATTTCCCATCTTTGCCTCTCTTTGATTTAGTTACATCTTCTTCTAATCTGTAGTCCAGCCTGAAGCTCTTCCTGGAGGTCCTGGAAGAATCACTGCCCCTGGAACCTCGACCCGAATTCTGACGTTTCCTCACCGCTTCTTTGGGGTACTGGTTGCACGCAGTCAAAGGGTGCTCTTCATCTGTTTTCTTGTCCATATCTTTTTGAGAAGAACTAAAATACATTCTAAATTAATCAATCTTTTCTTGGATTAAGATCAACATTCAGACTGAACAGTCTCACAAGCACTAGAAACAAGCCTGCCCTTCTTATTTTATCATCTGATGTATTTTTCTCAAAAAATACACTTTTAAAACAGTTGCTATTACATGAAAGACTTCAAAAAACATGCCTTGGCAAGTAGACGTGAGATCTCTTTGTAGTTCATGCAAAACTGTCCTCCCTGGTATGCACAGCTTCAGATGCTAACGCTATCATCTACCAGCTACAAGACTGAGGGGGAAGGGATCCTTGATTTACATTTTGGAAGAATATTAAGTTCCTCCTGAAGCTTATGACATTCAATGCCTGATGTAATATGATCCTGCAAAATTGTCCAAGAGACACTGGAACTACACAGCATTTGCCTACTACTGCTTTAGCATTTGCCTATATAGTGACTTTGTTCTGTAATAAAGGCAGCAGTCTCATGTAGCATTAACAACATATTACTTCTACCTACAAGATGCATCAATGCATGCACATCCATGCAGAAAACTCAGACCACAAAAGACCACAAAAGGTCATCTTTCCCATGCTGTCCAAAACAAAAGCAAAGCTTATTGTAATAACAGTAAACTGTTTAAAGGTAAGTTAAATACAAATGGCTAGTGAAATGCCACAGAAGTTTAGGATGTCTCAAATAAGAATAGATACTGCAGCCATCATTTAATTCCATTGCGAAATGCAAAAATAAGTGGAGAAATTGAGAAAAGCTGATTTCTCTAAAGTCATAACTTAGGGACATTTTGAAGAAATGTCAGCAGCCCGAGTCTCTTACCTCTAACAGCACACGTACTTTGTAGAGTTTAGGAACGAGTCCTACAGATCTTACCATATCCAAGGTGGAGAAAACAAAAATCGGCATTTTACTTAACAAGTTGCTGAAGCAACTCAGTCAAAGCTAAACGTTTCAGCTTCTGTATTTACTGCCAACATTTCAGTGTTCTGCCAGCATTTAACAACAAAAACAAAAACAAAAAACAAAACAAAAAAGGGGGGGGGTTATTTAAAAATTGTGCAACTTCCTGGTACTGAGGAACTCTACCTGATTCAAAAGTAGATGATGACCAGTAACAAACAGACAGCATGATACATTGTTTAGATACAGGAAGAGCTTTTAACTAGAAATTGTGAAGTTAGTGCTGCGGAAAACTCTCCACCACATATTTCAGACCACCTACCTTTTCACTCACTTAGATACTCAAACTTCATCTGACACATGTGTATGAGAAGCACTGGGCTTCTGTCCCAAAGTCAGTCGACTCAAAGAACATTTTCAGGGAACAGAACTACATAAAGCCCTCAGTAGTTTCCTTAAAGATTACTGCTTTCAAACAAGATATTTTCTAAGTAGCTGGGTAGGCAGAACTCACCATGTCCCTCATAAATTCATAGCTACAGCAAACAAACAAAAATCATCAGTGCAACATTACAGCTAAGATTTGACACAGAGATAGTGTTACCAAATTGAACAAAAAAGGCATTTACCGATGATGCTTTAACGTGAAATGGAGAGCCCTTTCCTGCTTCTTAAGCAGCAACTGATTGCTGAGCAACAAGATTATGATGTTAATTGCGAACACATGACAACTGTTCAAAAAAAAAAAAAGCACAGTTGATCCAAATAAACATTATTTTGCCATATGACAGAGATAACACATTAACGTGTGTAAATCAACTTCTGGTAAAGGAGCATCAATAAACATTCAGCAGACGTTGCCGACACTAGTTTTTGAGCAGAAACACTCTTAGTCACAGCATTATTTATGTGTAATTGCTTTGTATTATAGTTTGCTGTAGGTTACTGAGACCAATCCATTTATGTACTTACTATTTCACAATAATATACCATAACTCGGTCATATTTTAATTGTAACTCTTGATACTGCTAGGCTATTTTCTCTATTCGATATTTAAAGTTATCAGCCTGCAATGGAATGGCCGCCCAGCTTGCTTTATGTGATTTTAAAGCAACAGAAATGAAAACAAAAAGACTGAGCACAAAAAGGCAGACAGAATACTGAAAAAAAATGTAATAAATATGCTGTTATTTTAATTCAAAAGTCTTCTGGGCATTCCTCAAAGAGTATTTTCAATGCCAAGTCAGCTTATTAATTCAGCAAAGCATGCAGACACAGCATAAAACACCTGCTCGTCTAGAAAGCATCAGGAAAACAAATCACCAAAGTTTAATCAGATAGGTGCTCAATCCCAGGAAATTCTTCTGTTAACATCTCAGATGTCTGATTTTTAAATATATAAACTACTGTAATTATTATTCCTACAAGGCATTTTATATAAGAGACAAAAGTGCCTAAGGTCTTATTTTTAAGGTTCTGCTTATCTATTCATTCATCTCTAAAAACAAGTGAATTCTGCTTGTGCTTACATTTTTATATAAACCTTTGATCTTACTCTTAAAGTAGTACAAACCTCTGGGGGAAGCAGGGATCAACTCTGCCGATTAAACAAAGGCAATGCCAAAGCATTTAAGGCACTGCAGGTATCTGTCTGCCAACATATTTTCCACATGATGCACATACATTACTTGCATTAGTATTCCATAAGCAACTGAAGGGGCAGAAAGACCTCAGCACTCACAGAATACTTTAAACTCTTTTACACGCGCACTAAAGGGACACATTTACAAACCGTTAACTAATAAAGTATTCCTGGTGACCTGTACATTCCTTTAAAGTATCCATCTTGCCTCTTCACTTCTGCTTCATTTAAACTGGTAAAATATGTCCAGGAGCACGTATGGAATACAGCACAAGAAAGCTAATCTTTCTTTTGAAAAAAATGGCAGACAGCCATTTCTAGGAAACCAGCATGTTTCAGTTGTTAACTTAAAATGAAACTGAACCAGTTACTAATCTAAAAGATTATTATCCTTTGGCACAAGAAAGCCTATACATACAAGGACATTTGGCAGCTCTATTGTAAATGTCATAAAACACTTAATCAGGAATGAGCTGATAATTCATCCAGCTTCCTTGAGTTCTTCTCAAAGAAAAATAATAGTTTGGCACTTGAAAAATAAATTTAAGCGCTGGGTTGCCAGCCAAATTCTGAGCGACGGAGATACTAAAGTCAGGCGGGACTAGGACTCTGTTCACTTGTAGGGGGAAGGGAGAGGGCGGTTAGGTTCTCGGTGGGTATTCGTTTTTGTAATAAGGCTCCATAGGAAATCTTTTATTTTCTGCAGTTTTAAACCAAGGGAGGAAGACTACTATTCCACTTACAAGCATTAAACTGCTTTCTTAACTCAACAAAATGGAAAATATCTTTCAGAATAAGGTAGCTTACCCACAAGACAGAAGAAGTGGGTTGCCATCATTTGTACGAGGGGCTCAGCGAGAAAGCACTACGCCTCCGCAGCACCTCCACGCTCAGAGACGCTTCACGCTTCCAGCTTCATTCAGAGAAGGAAAAGCACCGGCGCGTAAAAACTACTGAATGAGACTATGTAGCCAAACCCACTGTGCCAGAACGCGCTGTAGGCAGAAGGGAAGAACAACACTGTTTGATGAATGGGATGAAGCCGAACATGAATCAAGACGCAAAGCTCACATAACTGGTTTTCCAGCACCAAACATTAAGAGGCCCCTACCAATCCACAAGGCAAAAGAGAAATTGTAGGTTGGGCAGTGCAAACCTACATCTTTTGGCATGGCAAATAGGTTTATACTTGGAAAATAGGTATAGTTTTGGGGACAGTAGGTTTTGGGTCAGTCATTCATTTATTTTAGCATTGCTTATATGACTGAAAGCTTGGATACAAGAATAAGTATTTTGGCTTTAAGTCTTTTGTTTATTTAGGAAAATCATTAAAAGTTTAGTTAAACATTTTAATACTTGTTCACCTCTGTTTCAAAAGAAGGTTGAAAATAGAATACATAAATTAAAAGTTACAAGAAGTATTCTGTTACTATCTTTTTTCCTTTCAAAAGGCTCATTTTAAACACTGCAGAGCTTCAAGTGTCAAACTATTTTAACTTTATTTAGAAGAACAAATGCAACAACACAAAAGCCATTGAGTTAGAGGACCCTGGGAGAAGATGTGAAGACTAACATCCGCTACTCCATACCTGAAATAGATATAATTCTCCCTACCTAGCATACAACCATGAATAGACACGCTACTACCTGTGAAGTCTGCCAGAACAAGTTTATCCTTCTTTTCTACACAGAAAATATTACTCATGTAACAAATTCAGAAACTAAAAAAGTTTAAGAAGGAATTATAATGAAAACCTGGTTTAATGGAACCCAGCTACATTCACAGAGCATCAAACGTACCTTGCAAACATGCCATAGCTTTCAAAACATCCTTGTTTTTCCTCTAGTTTTGAAGCAACAAATTTATTTCATTTCCAGCTGCTGTCTCTGTATACAGACTACATCCATAAACTGGGCCACTCTACCCATCACCTACAGGCGACAGCACACGAGACCTAGTAAACTGAATTGGCTTGTGCTTTATCATAGCACCACAAGAAGAATTTGAGCTTTCTGCAAGCTGTGTGTTGCTGCACATAACTCAGAAGTCTTCTTTCAATATATATATTTTTAATGACCACAAAAAGCATACTTTGGGTTGAAACTAAAAAAGAACTTTTTAGCTAAAAAGTAAGATATTTGCAAACTTTAGGGGGCACACAAGTAATTTTTTCAAAAAAGCCTCCCACACACTTAACTAACAAAACATGGCCAGCCAAGTTTTGGCTGTGCTTTTATTTTTCCTTCGGGTCTGAAATTGTCTGCATTAATTAATGAGCAGCTTGAGACTGGACAATTCTGAATGCATTTAAACTTTTACTGTGAAGTACTTCAGGCTGTTCAAACCAGTTACAACAGCAGTTTTTCCTGACACACTTAGTATTTCGCACAAAGAAGATTTCTCAAGCTTGGAACTAACTAATCTATAAATACTATTAATTAGAAAACTCAAATAAGAAAAGTAGCCTTCTAGAACAAGCATTGCAGAAAGTTTCATTCAAACTATTTTAACAATGAGCTAGGGATGTTGCACGATGTCTTATTCTGATGCAAGCATTTTCAAAACATCCACAATCCCCACACCTCCAGGCTAGTATAGCCATCTTCCATTCTTGGATGCACCCACTTTACAGCACAGCTATAGCTTGCCAGCTTGTTCTTCTCTGTTCTTACAGACCAGTCAGTATCCTGACCTTACAGTAATTTTGTGCGCTAATAGAATTAAAGATGAATAACTGAGCCGCTATCAGAAACGGAACTAGCTCTCCCTACAGACAACCCCTTAAACACGGCAAAGGATTCGTCCTAATTCTGTCTACTTTTGAGAATCAACAGTAAAACAAAGCAAAGTTTTATTTAGACATAGAGATCGAGATTTTGGTTACAAATAAAACAAACGTAAGAATAGACCTAATAGCAGAAGACTACGGCTGGACACTTCACAGCAGCTGTGTTACTCTTAAGTAGTCGCCACCATCAGCCTCTCCTATCTGCACTCAGCCCTCCCTTAGGCTTGCCAAAACAAACAGTTATGTCCACACAGTGAATTACATCAGGAAATTCATCCAGTTGATCTAGACAGTCACTTCTTACTTTCCCATCCTGTAGAGAAGTGCCTACTTTTCACCTGGATCACTGTGCAGCCATGCAATGGTTTATACCAGCAAACCGGACACAGACAAGGAAGGGCGAGAACAGCAATACACGGTTATAAACAAAAGCAGGTTATGCCAGCGCAGCATAATTTATTAGGTTCCCCCCCCCTGCCCCCACCACCATCTAGAAATCTTTCAGGGTAGCTCAGTTACATATGCCTCCGAGTCGGATTCAAAGGCTTCCCTTGCCCCTTCAATATTTCATTTTCAATCCATTCCCTATCCGAAGTTTCATGTTCAGTAACGGTGCTGCTTAAACTCTCTGGCTGCCTCTTCCCCACCCTCAAAAGTGAGGTTTCATAGTATAACCAAGCAAATTTGCTAGCTAGCTACCACCTCAAAAGGAAGCCCGCTCCCACTACTATACACTCCTACCTCTACTTGCACACTGTTCATTAAGGGAGCTAAACCAACAGAAAGTTATTCGTAATGATTACGAGTGCATATCAGCTACACCCTTACACGCCTTTGGATACAAATGCAAATAGCCTTTAGAGTCATGCCCATCAGTAGTACCTGGAGTCAGCCGTTTCTCAGTCCTGGCTTAAATCTGAGCAGCTGCAGGTGTTGTGCAAACCGCATTAAGATGCCTCTTCCTGGAACTGGGACAAGGCATAATTATTTTCCCTTTGCTTCCAGGCACCCCCGCCAGCTAACTCTCCCTGTCCAATACGGGCACTTTTATACCCCCCACACCTACTCGGGACTCCTATTAAATATTACACAACTTACCCGGTACATACATATTCTGTTTAGCTTAAAATCCCTGTTATGCTACTAGTTGTCTATACGGACCAGGCATATTAGCACAGATGACAGACCCAGTAACCAGTTTCCTTACCTCTACACGCCAACTAAAACAAGTTATCTCCTTCCCTACCCTTTTACTGCAGTCTTGAATCAAAGTTATCTCAAAATTGGCATACGGTCATCACGTTTAAAAGAGTAGCCTAGACTATTATTATGATCGAGTTTAACTAGCAGCATTTCCGTGCTATTCCTGAAGCAGTCATAGAAGGAAAGCACGAGTCAGTCTTCCCTACTCCAATTTTACTGCACTCTCCCCGAACTTTGTATCACTACCAACATATAGGAAAGAACAGGGGAAGCAGGGGCTAGAATGAAACGTTATTGCCGCTCAGGCTGACAACATACAGAAGCAAGGTTGGTGCATTAAAGCTGTTACGATATGCAAGACAGTAACTGGGTGATGAATCAAAAAAAGGCAAACAATTTTTAAAATGAACGCAGAAATAACAGAAGATAGTGCATGCACACAGCTGAGCACAGATAACCCTTGGATTGCAACAGCAACGCTAATCTCCCTGCACAGCCCTTTGCACTTGTACAGCGTTCCAATGCAGGTCTTCTCAAAGTGCAGACATGCAACCTGTCCCCATCCGCAACAGGATCTGGATCCCAACTTTAGTTTTCTGGCACCAACTCTTCTTCTGTAAGTATTCATGCAGATAAACAGTTTATTAATTTTAGCTGCTCTATTGATGTGCATGCAGCTAATCACAGATGCAAACCTCTCCAGGATGGGGCTTACTGTTAGAAAAATAATCAAACTTTGAAGTTTTGCATTCAGAAACACACTTTAACCACTTCCCTGTGTTAACAAACTACACATTTTATTTTTAATATTTCAAGTTATTATGTGATGTTGGACCTCTTCGCATAGGTTTTTTTTAAATAAAAGGACTTTTGAAAATATTGCAAGCTTACATTCTGTCCTGAGGGTATTAAAGGTCTGTCTCGCATCCTACGTATCTGCGATATGACTGTATATATTTATATATAAGTATTATAAAGAACACTACATATGAGACAAAGGCTTTACTTGAGCATACGATGATAGATTCATTTTGTAGCTTGTGTTCACAGAGGAAGGATAAGAACTGTTTTAATAGAAGTGCAAAGAAATCATGTTAAAACCTTGATCCATAGGCTCCAAATAGCAAAGTAGGATCTGAAGCAGTCCATTTACATTCAACTCTGCCATTTTTATGTCTGCAACTCTGCAATTGCTATCTCCACCTCATATTACTAAGCCTTTTAATTTTCTTTTTCCTTTTCTCTCCATGCCAGGAAGTAACAAACTCTCCTATGCAAACTTTCTCTAGAGCCACCCTGAGAATAATCTTTTTAAATCCTATGAAACCTCAGTTACGCAGGAAGGACAGCAACTCCCAAGCACTAAACTAGCTTTTATTTTTAAGTTACTATACATAATCATGCAATTTTTGTTTATATACATATTTAAATGCCAGACTAGTTGATTTCCTCTCTTGAGTTCAAAGTCCAAGCACGTAGGACACAATGTAATTTCTCTGCAACATAAAAATATTTCCCTAAATTCTTTTTTTCCTACTTCATGCTTAGATTTCAATATATGCTCTACTAGAAGTAGATTGCTTGTCCAAACAACGCTCTCTCTCTCTCTCTCTAGAAGAGCTACGCACACACATACTCCTTAGATATTTACAGGCTTTATAGAACTATTCATAATATTTAACTTCAGTCACATTGAGTTTAAATAATTATTTCCTGATCAGTTAAATTTTTAATTTCTTTATGTTGCATTTTGTGGAATGTAACTGTTTAAAGACTATGTTTCACAGAAATTAACCTAGGAGGAGTTCAATCTTTCCAAATACTAAAGTTTAAAACCCTCAAACCTGAAGGCTGTAAAGCCAGAAAGCATGTGAGATACAGCACCTTCAAAGCTCTGCCGGGAACACAGCAGTTGAAAGAAATTACAAGTGGCAGAATACCTGACAAAGCAAAACATTTACACCAAGTGAAATTGAAAACATCACAACGCTTTC